AGATTTGTTGGTCCAGCAATGAATATTGTAGACTCAAGTCAATTTATCTCTCAACTCGGATCAAGTCCCCATAAACAGATTAAGTACGATGCTTGATTGAGCAAAAGGTATACTAAAAAGTCTCTAAAAGGTATATGAAATATGCAGAAGAAAGCTTGGCAGATCCCTCGTTAAAAAGACAAATCGAGTTGCACCTGCCGGTTAGTTCGTCCGTCTGTATGAACATCGATTGTTTTTAAACCGTAATGCCAATAAACCCCAAACTTGCCATGTAGACTTGTCTTATTAAAATGCAGATCAAGTCTATTACTAACCGCAAGTAGGCTCATTATTTGCTATAGTTTTCATAGGAAGAATAGAAAATTACCCTTCGTAAGGTTTTTTTTTAAAGAAGGTTTAGTTAAAAGCTTTCTATAGTACCACACTATAAGCTAAAGTTTCATTTAGCTCGGTACATTATATATTCAGAAATAAAGTGTATTATTAAAAATTAGCCAAAAATTCTTCAGTTGAAGAAGGCTAGGCGCTTTACAATTTACACTGAATGGTTTCGAATAGTTCTAAAAACGATTAGTAATAGCTTTCTGATTTATATCACATTTAATTTCACAACAGCTCGAATATATTCGTTTTTAAAAGAACCATTTAAGAACTAGTTATGCATCATTAAGATTAAGAAAGAAATCAAAAACATTTCCATAAAAAAGATAACGAAACACAAGCCGACTGCCTCTTAGTTCTTCACTTCATTAGTCTCGCCTGCTTCAGATATGCAGAATGTCATTAGAAAAAAAAGATTCAAACATATACCATCTTGCAACACGTGCCCCGGCAAATTTCAACTCCGAGAGAGTTCAAAAGCCTTTTCTTGAAAGACAAACAGTAAAAAAAAGAAGCAAGTAGTCCACAAAGAACAGCAAAAACGACACGTCTACTGCGACATGGCACAAAAGCCAAAAATTTGGGTCAATTGACTCACAAGAAAACTTGTTCTCGGAGCGAGTTATGATATGCCCCGTCCAGCTCACACACTCGCCTCCCATCAATTACAACACACGTAAATTCGGCTTTTGTGACATTATTTATTAGGTTATTTTGTTTATCTCTCCCGCTCAACATATTTACACACACACTGCCCTGTTCACCCTCACCACTGTAACTCCGAGTTCCCTCTGACTGGTTTCGGCATTACAGTGTTGGCAGTCGGAATTATGTTCCAGTGTAGGAAGACACGTGTATAACTAGCGCTGCTGACAATACGAGTAATAATAACTACAAGATACAGCCACCGACAGCGCCAGACAAAGCATTATGCTCGTATGTTCTTTTTTCAGATTGTGACCGATAAAAAGCCAATAAAAAACATTCTCTCTGCATGTGTCTGATAAATGGCGAGTCGTAGGAAAAGCTGAAAAGCTGCACTGCCTGCCATCGCAGCTAATCAATAAAAGCAAAAAGAAAAGCCAAATCAATATTTTTACTAGCAGCGGTTTTCCAGGGAGCGAGCCAAAAGAACAGCTTTTTATGGCCAATAAAAGAGTTCATTCGAAATACGAATTATATTGCTTTTGCTGATGTTTCTATTAGTGGCCAATTGGATCTTTATCTGTAGTCTGGCTTAGATTTTCAAAACTGCAGACTGCAATTCTAAAAGTTGCAAATTTCAATCGAAATATATTAGCGAAAACAAATAAATATATCGCTATTTCAACTATAGGAAAACACTTCAATTACGCTTTATATTTAAACAATATTTTGAGATACTCAGATGCTTTTGAAGCAGCCTCTCAACCTACGCAGCAACGCTTATTAAATTGCATAGAAGAGCGCTTAAATCGCCGGCAAACTGGCAAATGAATTTATGTCCGCAGCCCACAGACAATTTTGATAAAAATGAGACACGTTGCCAGGCAGCCAATTGCTGTGGATTATAATTATAATGGGTGCCCTTTTTAGCAGCTCCAAGGGCCTTCAGCAAGCAGGTATGGGTTGCAGGAGAAGTTGCCAAAATGTTTCAAAAATTGCATTGATATTTCATTAAATTGATAAATAAAATAAAAGGCAACAATTATTTTTAGAGCAAGACTAGCTTTCAATTCTGACCTAATTAAGAATCTCTTGAGAAAACTTGTCTCTGATATAAATTAACGGTCTACATTTCATACAATTCTACGAAATAAATTTCTAAAAACTTTACACGTTTCTCAGAAGTTTTAAAAACTTTTCTCAATAATAAATTAACAAAAGTGTTGTACTATTCTAAGAAGTTCCTAAAACTTATCTCATTTACAAAACTTCTCTACTCCTCTTTACAAAGAGAATCTCTTCAGAAAACTTGTCTCCAATATCAATCCACATTATACATTTTATACAATTCTCAGAAATAAATTTCTAAAAACTATACACTTTTCTCAGAAGCTTAAAAAACTTTCCTCAAAAATAAATTAACAAAAATGTTGTAAAAAGTTCCTAAAACTTGTGCAAGAAGTTTTGAGAAACTTATCTTCGAAATAAATTTCCAACAACTTTATACGTTGTCAGAAATTTAAAAAACTTATATTAGTTCAAAATTCATAAATAAGTTGTACAGTTCAATAAAGTTTTGTAAAACTCATCTCAAAAGTTCACAAAGAATTTGTACAATTGAAAGTATCTTTGGAAAACTTATCTTAATTATAAATCCACAACAATTTTAGACATGCGTTAGAAGTTTGGAAAAACTTATCTGAGAAATAAAGTCATGCTAGTGCTGCCAAAAGAAGAGATCTGTTCATGAAAAGAACACCCTGTATTCAATGCACTTGATAGTCGAGATGACGAAGTTGTGAACGAGGAGAGGACAGCTTAGTCTGATTGCCCTCCTTTCTGGCAGCTGTTAAAGGCTTTATGTGTCCGCCGATCGCTGCCTGGCAACCAATCTAAGTGGGCATCAGTGCTCATTACTGTACACTTAATCGATTTACAACTTTATTGTGCAGTAGAAATTGCATTCCTTGGCGATAATAATATAATTCCCTGTTGCCAACATGTATGGGCGGGTAATAAAACCTATACTGCATGCCCGTATGTAGATTTAAAGAATAATTGCGCCGTTTGTGGCAATTATCAGAGCTCTCTCAGTGGTAGGCCTTAAAGCCTGTTGACTTATTGCAGCAATCGACAATAACTTGTATTTGTTTATACAGTTGTGCTCGGCGATGTGACAACAAAGCCAATAAAATAAGTTAACAAACTGATAATGAGGGCCACAACTTTGATGATTGAATTATTATTTTTAGTCAATTATGCCAGATGGTGGCAGTTAACGTACAACAGAACGGGAATATAAATATATATAAATACAATTGATAAAGAAAGAACATCAAAAACAAAGCAAACTTAAAGAGCATGAATAATAAATAATATTAACAACTGGTGATTAAATGAAATTTTATATTCTTTCCTTCGCTTTCTTCTACTACGTGAAAAAGAAGATAACCGAGATCAAATAACAGATGAGAAGAGATACTTTAAACTCTTTTGATGCAAATCTCTCAATACTATTGACGTTATGATGACAATGTTACTAACTTCGGGCAAAGGATTATATACATATATGTACATATGTCAACAAAGAACATAAGCAAGTTTGTAATGAAACAAAATAATTGAAGTCGCGAAGCCTTTAGAATAATAGAGCATTAAAAAGATGAAATAGATGACAGAGTTTCAAAAACTTATAAATTAAAGTTATTCCTAAATAGGTCTAATTCAGAGCTGCCTATATAATTCGTTGAAGTGTTTCTTATTTACAACAAGTATGAAATATTCACTTGTTAATATAAATAGATAATGATGAGTTAAGAAAATAGTTCTGCAAAATAAATTAAATATAAATATTAATATTAATATATAGTACAATGGACGTACGAGTAATTTATTTTCTAATTAATCAAATTTCCTTAACAGTTGACTTTTTAGTAAACATTAAATACAGTAGTATTTTACCGATCTGTGCAATAAATTAAATCAGAGTTGAAATACTTATATTCACGTCTTTGGGATTCCCTTTATTTACAATTTCAATTATTTAAGTTTTCAAAAACTTCATTTCTAGGTACATGAAGCTACACAAAAATTGGGGAATTGTAGTCTTAAGGAGCATTTTATTTAATCCTATCCTGAATTCTATCTTGATCTTTTTAATTGAATTTAATCCTGCCTGCCTCATTTACTTTGAGAAACCCGATAGATATGCAAAGTTGTTTGAAAATTGTTGAACCCTTTGGGCAACTTTCTTAAACAAACCATTAAAGAAATTTGTCATTTCGACTTGTTGGCTGCCGGCCGACCTTGTACCCTCAATCTAGCTTTAAACGTTGACATGAATTGCTTTCTTTAGGCACAATGTGAGAATCAATTTGCCACATTGCAGGTTCTCTTTTTAGCATCGAGAACAGCAGCTCCCCAGGCAGCAAATTGTTTGCATTGTTTGTGGCAGCAGCAAGGCAACCAAGTGTATGTGTGTTTGTGTATGTGTGTCTTCTGGCAACATATTTAATTCAGCAAGTGGCACACAAAGTTTGCCGCAGCGGCGGCAAGTGGGCGTGCAACCACTATTCTATCATCCTTGAAAGCAAGTACTTGCTGCACGCCTCCCCACCCCTACCTGCCACACAGTGCTTGCAAAGTGCTCTCTAATACATTTTCAATTTCCTTAGCCGCGAAACAAATAACTAGACAAGTTTTATTGCAGGCAGCACTCGTTAGAAATGCCAGCTCGAATGTAAACATCGATGCAACGGATCCTTTATGATGTATTTCGATGCATAATGCTTGAAGGCACTATATTTTAAGAATTTAAAGTTAAAGTATAAGAGTCCTATTGGCTAAATTTAAAGATTAAATTAAGTTAGGCGCTGGCTTACAACTTTTCTCCATCTTTCATTTGAAAAGTATTTATTTATTTATTTATTTATTTATTTAATAATACTAAAAACTTGCTCTTATTTTATTTACAGCTTTGCGCTGCCTGCCATCAACTGCAACTATTGCTTCCAGACACATAAAGCTATATATATATATATATAATTATATATACCTATGCCATAAAATATAGCCGATGATCAAATTTTAAAGAACAACTGCCTTTGTGGTTCATTTTAAACACAGCCTAAGAGTAGGCAACGGAAACATATCAGCGCATACGCATGCCAATAACAATTTATGGAACAAAATTTAACTATAAAACTAACAACAACAACACCTCAAACCAAAACACGCGCCACTTATGCGACGCTATAAAACGGGAAAATACTACAACTGCAACCATATTGCCAAACAACATGTGGAACGCATGCGCACAGCAGTGACACAAACCACTTACTGAGCTGCCATTGCGCTGCGTATAAGAGAGCAGGTGGGTGCGAGTCTTTGCTGATATTTTTTATAGCACACATACATATTATCCGCTTATGGGTTTTCGAAACCAGACTTGAAAATTAAGTTAAAAAGCAAAATGGAGGGAAATTTAAAAAAATTAAATAAGAATTGCTTACTTGTTGATTATTTAAATTTGTTAACCTTGTTTTTCAGAATACAGAGCAAATGCAGGCTGCGATCTCAATGAGATAGCGGAACGGTTTTTGCTTTTGAAGAATTGTGGCCACGTGGATTAAAATTTGTTGAGCAGCATGGATGCTCCCGATGCCGTGGGACGCATTATAAGGGCGCCAGCTAGACGCAAACGGAACGATGAACAACTAATGGATAGGGTAAGTCTCACTTGAATCCTCAAACGATCAGACAAACAAATCATTTGCCCGTCTGAACAACGCTTGAAACTGTTTAATTTCTACTTTAAACTGGAACTACAAATAGGAGGCATGTTTCCTTCGATTATGAATCAGATTGGAAAACAATCTCTATCTCTAAGCTCTGCAATAAAATCTCCATCATCTGGCTTATGACTCTGACTCACAATCTCCGTCATGTACCGCGCTGTCATTCTGCATTTAGCGAACAGATGTCAGCTTTATAACCAGGTGTGTGGCCGATCTGTCGCCGTTACCTGTCCAAACAAATGGCTTGGATTGGCTGAGTGCCACTTGATTCGCATTGACATTCGTTTGGTTTCCATTTCGCTTGCCTTGACAACTTTTCCACGCAGTTTTCGGTTTTTCATTTCATTGAACCCGATCGCGTTTTTCTTGACACTGTGGCGGCTCCCATTAACGACCGCCTGCAGCGCACGATCCAGTTTCCAAATGCAAGTTCCCATCAACTGAGAAAAAAATGAAAGTTTTGGACGCCCACCTCAATGCGTTTTGTCATTCAACTGATTTCTTGAAGTCGTTGCTGTTGCTGTTGCTGTTGTTGCTCTTGTTGACATCATTTTTATTTATTTGCTGCGATTTTTCATTGCCTTCTGCTGCACGCAGTGCTTTTTAATGGGCGTCTCTTTAAATATACGCCCATGTGTTGCTGAGATAACATTTTAATTGAATTTTTTTAACTGACTCTGGCTTGACCACAAAACACATTATTGCTACATTTTCTTTGCTAATCAAATCTATGAAAAATTCGAGTCGCACATTCGCTGTGCCGTGATTGAAGCAATAACCACAAATATGCCAGCAACAGGGAGTGACTTACTGGCCAGCTATATTTACTGGCCCCTAGCCTGACTGGCTGATAATATAGATTTCCTTAATATAGTTTCGAAACAATTGAAACCCAGCCAATCAAACATAATTGGACAATTTTCTGCAAAGCTTTTCTTTTTGCCAAAAATTGGTTATTTTCTCTGAAAGTTCGATCTTATAACTGTACAAATAATAACAAAATTGTGTAAAAAAATGTAAATACCCACAAAATTAAAAAACTGATATATCTTTAATAACAAAATATATTTGTCAATAAATTTTAAAAATCTACCGAGAGCGCGATAACTTACTGCACTCAGTGTAAATACACTACTAGGCAGCCATAAAACTCTGAAAATTGGGTCATCTAAACGCATTTAATTTTTATAGATTTTCAACCATAAATACTAAATTGAATCATTTGTAAGGAAAAAATATACACCTACAAGCCAGACTTGATGAGTTTGGGAATTAAACTCCATCCCACGTTAGTTTTTCAAACAAAGGTAGTCTGCTTTTAAAACAAAGCTTCTCACTTTAAATGAAACGCAGCTCCCGAAAAGTGGGCGTACCTCGTCGCCTAAAGTTCATTAACCAACTCCCACCCACACATCACGCCTCATCTAAGCAAACTGAACCAAAAAAAAAAAAAAAACCTAAGTTCCACTCACACACACACACACATGCACGTGTATGTAGTCTAAACAATAACCCACAATTAATGCTCAAATTTCACGCAATTAAAAGCAAAGCAGCAACGCCTCTTGCCACCACCACAGCCCAACAATAATAATTTGAGATTACACTTGTTAGTGTGTGTGTGTGTGTGTGTCAAGTTCATTGCACGCAGACAGCAACAACCAACCAACCACCCACTCGCACTCATTAAAAGCTGCCCACAAATTCACAAAATACTATTAAATAATAAACACAAACCTATGAAAAAATAAAACAATTAAATCACCACAGAAGCGCCACTCGTCGTTGTGCGAATACTCTCTCATTCTGAAGAGCGAAAGACTTTCGATCAACTGAGAGAAAGAAAAAAGCTCGCTGACCTTTTCTACTAAGTCAGCGGGCGGCAATTCACCACAGAGCGTCAGCAACAGCTGTATGTTGTCCCCTAACTCCCCACAACATAAAACAGTGGCGCATTAGGTGTGAGCGATGATCTCAGCGCAGTTGAGAGAGCGCATTGCGCATGCAGTGTACAATATTTACCCGCAGGGTATAAGATGGTATGTTAGATTTGAGCAAATGTATTTAACAGGCAAAGGGAAGCAGCTCCAGAGAAATCAGAGAAATCTGCGAAAGGAATATGCATTAGAGCCTCCAAATTAGGTGTGCGGTTTCCAATGCACCACTCACTATACTGCTACGCATTATTATAGATGATGTAATTCTTTGAGTTTTCGAATTTTTAAATTAAAAATTGAAGAACAATTCTTGTATTTTAAAGCTTAAAAATAATTTATAATAACGAAATTAAATACTGAAACTAGTACAGGGTATATAATAGTTAAGCCTGCTTGACGCATTATTATAGATGCTGTAATTCTGTGAGTTTCGGAATTTTTAAATTAGAAATTGAAAAACAATTCTTGTATTATAAAAGCTCAAAAATAATTTATAATAACGAAATTAAATACTGAAACTAGTACAGGGTATATAATAGTTAAGCCTGCTTGACGCATTATTATAGATGCTGTAATTCTGTGAGTTTCGGAATTTTTAAATTAGAAATTGAAAAACAATTCTTGTATTATAAAAGCTCAAAAATAATTTATAATAACGAAATTAAATACTGAAACTAGTACAGGGTATAGAAGAGTTGAGCGTGCTTGACGCATTATTATAGATTCTGTAATTCTGTGAGTTTCGAAATTTTTAAATTAGCAATTGAAAAACCATTCTTGTATTATAAAAGCTCAAAAATAATTTATAATAACGAAATTAAATACTGAAACTAGTACAGGGTATATAATAGTTAAGCCTGCTTGACGCATTATTATAGATGCTGTAATTCTGTGAGTTTCGGAATTTTTAAATTAGAAATTGAAAAACAATTCTTGTATTATAAAAGCTCAAAAATAATTTATAATAACGAAATTAAATACTGTAACTAGTACAGGGTATAGAAGAGTTGAGCGTGCTCGACTCTAGCATTCGACTCGTTTCGTTTTGGGTGTAGTTGTGGTTGCTGTTCTTTGAAAAAAGGTTAGCTGGCTAGCTCCACGGCCCCAACTTCAGGCGCTCATACTTCGCCGTTAGTGGCTTTTACTTGCGCACTCCGCCGCTCTGAGCTTTGCTGCTGCGCCGTTGGCTCTGCTCGCCCGCTCGCTGGCTCTCTCATTGGCTTGCTTGCTAGCAGGCTGATGCTGACGCGCCGCTGTTTTAGTTACATTTTGTATTTCAGTTGGAGCGCATTTTAACGCCCAACGCGCCTGCTTCGACGGTCCAATTGTTGCGTGTGTATTGGTGCGTTTGTTGTTGCAATTTTCGCGTGCAATTTTGTGTGTTGCAATAGAAAATTAATGGAGAAAATTATAAAAACAAAACACGGTGCCATAACTTAATTAGTTTGCTTAAATTTAAACACCCCTTGGGCGTTAGTGGTGGCCCCCTTTTAGTTGTTAACCCAAGTGTTTCACTCACTGTGCCTTTTATAGCCAAAACTGTGCGTCTGAACGACCTTCGGCTTGTTGTGTACATTTTCGGTGCGTGTGTAATTCGGTCGCCGTCAACATTCTGCTGCTGCTGCTGCTAACTACACACACACAATAATTAACTAACAGACATGAATTGTTTGCGAGCGACAAAAAATGCGAACGCTATTATATAATTTGGCAAAGTTTGCTGCAAGCGCAGACAAAACACCCACAACGCGACACAACACTAAACACAGTGCACAAGTTTTGTCAATTAGGGGTCAGAGATTTTTTAATCAAATGAACTGAACAGAACCGTTGATTAGATCATGCTTCTGAGACTCCGTGTGCCACTTGGTATGCAATTTAAATACTGATCATACACAATGGTTTTGAAAAAGTAACCAAAACGGCATAAATAAATACCGTAAAATGAAAATAAAATAAATCACAAGTTGTACCTCATAAGAATATTTGCTGAAGATACAAATAAAAACCGTCTTTGGTATTGTACAAATAATTAAATGAATTTGAATAATTATGGAGAGAAGTGTTATAGAAACCATAAATTTAACTTGGATTTACATTTGGCCTTAAATTGAATTTTTCAACAGAAAAAATGAAAAATTTGGAATCAGTATTTGTTCTTCACTTAATAGAAATATTGGGATTTATTCTCGAAAATAGTGTATAAACTGCGGTTGCTGTAATGGAATACTAGATCGAATGCCAAACGTTTTAAACCGAATACCTCCATAGTATTTCATTATTCAAATCAGTTGCAAATTTCATGCTCGCAAAATTTGAATAAATTTAAAAAAAAAAACTACAACCAGTCTAAATTCATTATTCAATTCTTAAGTATCTTTGGTTTCATTCGTAACTTTGGACAATACTGTTATCATGACAACTATTGGAAACCGTAGACGGTGTATTTGTTTAAAATTGCCATTTATCTAATTGTTCTTGAATTTCAACTGAAATAATATCGGAGCAAAGTTTGATTCTTTACGTATTTCGCTTTATTTGTTCGCTTATCACAAATTAATATGCTCAGTGGGCCAAAAAGAAAACCTTCCCTCTTTGGCTGGCTCAGTCCAAATTGAATGCGAAATATACAAACATTTAACAGTTGAAAATTAATTCAATTCCATTTCCGTGCATAGATTGGCAAATTTATATGGAAATGTAAAGTCCTCGTAAATAAAACATTGAAAGTCTAACGGCCAGCGCTTTTGGCTGATAACAAATCGCTGCTCACGTCAGCCCCTTAACAGTAAACAGACGCCCAAATGGTGGGGAAAAGGTAGTTACTACTACGTAGTAGTAGTTGAGCGAGATAGAGAGGCGATTTGATAAGCTAACAGAACTCAACACGATTGTTTTGGTGTGGGGAGAAAAGGCAAAACAAACGTAAACTTTGTGAATTGAAAAACAAGCTAGAATATGGAAGAAATTAACACACGAATAATAATGAGCAAC